GAAGAATTGGAGCATTTAATGATAGGAGCTACAATGCAATGCATGTAACATGCTTGACAATATAATATTACGTTGTTTATCTTTAGTTACCAACACTGTGTAACCTTGTACCAAGCAACGGATTACAGTGCTGCTGCTTAATTTCAGCTGCAATTCCTTAAAGACCACTGGGGTCAGACATGGTGCGTCAGTATAAATTAGTCCTAGTTTCCTCATCCCGCTGGATGAATGAGGTGATGCATGAGCCAAAGATAGGTAGTGCAACTCCTGAGCATCCAATAGGAAAGTCGCCCTTAATGTGACACAACATTCTTCCAATTTCCCACTTTTATAACTTAGTCAAACCGCCCTTCCTTTAAACGGCGGATAGATGAGTCTAACTCTCTATTGAGTTGATTTAATAAATCTCCGTAGAGTGTGAGTTTCTTAAGCAATTATGTTTATCGTTTGATAGATCTTGGAACTCAGCAATCGCTGCTACAATGTGATTGTGAGAGTAACTTAGTAATTGCATATATACACAAAACGGGTCCACTCTAAGTTAATATACATGCGTACTACAATCAAATGCTCTTTAATTTATAGTGCAAACAATCGCATTTGAGTGCACTGACTATAATATATCCAAATCAAACTGAAATACCAGCTACAGATCAGATAAGTATACTCAAATACGATAATGCGCTTCAATGTGTTACAGCACAATCTGAAAAAGGTATGACTATTTGTTATAATGTTATTTGCCTTCCCATGTTAGTCCCAAGCACCTGCCAATGAGGTGAAAATGCAGAGTTTGTACCATTCTTGCACCAAGCTTACCCTATGAGATCCAAATTTTTCTAATTACACGCTATTGTAGAATTTCTGCAATGCAGCCTTATTGAAACCAACGCAATATTTCATATCCCGCTGCCTGGCTATTTTTGGAGCTAACAGTTCGATAGCTTATATTTACAAAAGGTTTGCCTAAGGTGAAACCAACTTTTCTAATTTTAATTGCGTATGACCTAAAAAGACACTAATGCATTGTTGATTTAAATAAATCAAAGTAATGTACACAATGCACACACTTACCTTACGAGTTGCTCGCAAAATTATGCAAACTAAAGAATTAGACTATGCACGGTAGGTTAAACATGTTTGGTTAATTTATTATTTTATCAAAGAATAGGTAAGGTCATATTCGTTTCCTTCTGAAGCACAGATGTTGTAGTGGTATTCAGTATACCTTACAAATAGACTGAAATAGCTCTGGTGGACTTTGACATAAGTAAGGACCTCTATTCCAATAGTTCGTTTCCCGAAATAACGTAAATGATCCTTTGTTTTCCAATCATTTTAGGCTGAAGCTTAAGTCACGTGAAGCTTCTTTTTCTGCCTATTTGGATTAATAAAAGTTGATAGTGCTCAGACTAGTTCAACACCATGACTATAATCTATTTTTTACTCGTGAGTTTTCCAGCTGTGATATGCAGGTCCCACCTCACCCAGAGGCTACTCCAGTAAATCAGTCTTACATCTTACTATTGTAGCTACAACCAAACCACTTCAGTAATTCTGCTAGGTACGGCAACGTAGGCCGAACTGCCAACCCCATTCATGGCAACAGTCTAAGTTCCATCGGCAAGTCGTCTGACTTGCACACGGAGGGTCAGTGTTTGATCAAGAAGAAGGGAAGCAAGCTTCGTGTTTAGACTCACTCAAGCTAAAGCAATTCCTTCGAGTCAAAGCTTCATCACAGAGTCACTGGCATCACCATTTAGGAAGGCATGGATGTGCACACGCTTGACAAGCAAGTAGGACGAATTGAGGAAGACACAAAAAATTAGGCACATTTACCTCAAAAAATGGAAAAGAGGTTTTTATTAGCAAAAAACAAATAAGTTCAACTGGATTGGTGAAAAGTCTGTTTCGCAAAACCACCTCCAAAATGAAATATCAGACAGAATCCAGCATCTATAGCAGCAGAGGAAGTATTCAACACACCCCGTCCATGTTGTTGGTAGTGAAGGCGAGAAAATCGATTGCTGCGACCTCACCATTACAGGATTGGTGAGATTTGATTGGGATGTCAAAACGCATATTGCGCTACTGAATAGCTTTAAAGCGAAACCTCGGCTCGGCTTAAAAACTATCACCAGAACTACGCATCACAGGGTAAATATGGCTGTTGCCACAATCTCGAAGGCTGTCGGCTGGTCAGAAAGCGTATCTGAAGGAGGTGAAGCTCCACTCACCTCTAGCTACTGTGTCGTGTTATCCTCTATAAGCCAATTTTGCACCTCTTCACCAAGGTTGCTCACCAAGCAGCCGACAAGTCTAAGTGACCTTTTAATTCACAGAAGATCTACCAGTGCCAAGTGCCAGCAAGTTTTATGTTTGTAGAGTAAGAGAAAGATTTTCGCGATTCCGCAATAGTGATTACCCTGTCTACCCCACTGCCTACAAAATCATCCAGTCCTCCACCTCACCAACTCCATAGATACATACCTGCCTGCAGAGTAACCCCTCCAGAATTCGCGTTAGCCACCCCTCTGCTGATAGGAATATCTGCCAGTCTGCCTCTCTCCTTTGGTAGATCTCTAGCCTCCTTTCTCTCCACAGCAATAGATCTCTACCTTTCTTCTAACTCCGTACCTTTCCAAAAAATTAGTTCCCTACTTATCTACCTTATTTAATCTTAAATTAATTAGCTTCTTACCTCAAAACCTGTCTAATTCTCCAATTAGCCATCTCTACAAAATTTTAGTAGTTTTTTTAACTACCCCAATTCCTCCCAAGTTTCCAAGACCTAGGGCAGAATCAAAGAGCGGGAAATCTTTTGAGAGGTTTCGTGCCTAAAAGAGATCATTTGGAATTAAGCCATGGTTGTAGCTAAGAGGCCATCTTACTCATGAACTACAGTTGCTAAAATTATCATAATCCGAGTCCCCTACCCAAAGATCTCAGCTCTTCTACGCTTTTCCTGTTTGTTCCAGCCGAAAATCCAGTTTCCCAATCACCAACCTCCAGTTGACCACCGCTTTCATGCCACTCCTAGCTTTCTGCTTCTCAACTTCACTAGATACTCACACACTGCAACCGTTGATCCCTGCCTCACTCACTGGTCCTCCAGGCACCTCTCTTAATATGTATAGTCTTCTATCTCTCAAACACTCTGCCTTGATCCCTGCCTGCCTCACTTCCCTTCCAGTTTCTCAGATACCTATCCATCAGCGGTCCTACTTCAAGTTTGCGTCATGATCAAGGCCACAACGCACCTTTCCCATAATCCACCATTCATAATGGTCCGCAATTCTGCAGAAAATTGTAGTTGCAAAGTAGGAAGGACTTCTCGCACCCGGCTCTTCGCACACTATCTAACAGGAAGCCATCGTCCGGACATTATCATAAGGGCTCAGTGTCTACAACTCCTTGAATTAAAAGACAGCACAGGATAGACAGTGCAGCCAATTACTCCTTAGCTGATTATTCCTAAGCTCCTACACCTTGCGCTCTTTGACGATTATCTAAATACACCAATAAAGAGGCCACGTAAGTGTCTTCTATCGGTCAGAAACACATCCACTCATAAATATCAGTTAACATAGCATAACAGAAATTATTCCTTGTAAGCCAGCATTCCGATTCTCCAAATTTCAAAAGTCTTTCAAAAACCAAGGAATTCCATTTTCTGACAATTTCAAGGAACGAAGATTGCGGACTAGAGCGGAATTCTTTGAGGCAAGCTGCCATCAGATTCGACTCCTGACAGAGACGAGTCAGGCGCAAACACTGCAAAGTCATGGTAGCCTAGTAGTTAGCTACGCTCAACCCAGACAAATCTAATTCGGAGGAATTGCTTTGAATGGACACCTACAGCAAAATGTAATGCTGTCATCTTGATCTCAAATTATGGATCTTCCGGAATTAGTCAAATCTGGTGTTCGATTAATGCATTCCTTATTATGCTTGTCATTCAGCCTCGACGAGTTTTTCAGTAAGTGGCTTTGCCCATTCTTAATCGCTAGGCCTATAAAACGACTTGTTTTCCCCATGTGACTGTGATGGCACAGCTATTATGTCACTATGACAAGGATGAGATGGATTGCATTTGGAGAGTTTAAGCAGGTGGGCACTTGGTAGTCGAGAACCTTAAATCAGCATTTCACTCCTACGGCCTACATTATACATGACTACATGGCCGTTTCGCCCTTTTGCTGCTTCAACTTTAATTTTTATATTTGAAACATGACTGAAAATAAGTTACGCAAATTTTCTTGAAGATTTTTTCACCAGAGTATCCCTCAATTTCAGCTAATTAGAGCTCAGCTTCTTGAAAGTGCTTTAATGTTGCAGTAGGTAAAAACAGATTAATTATTTTTTCCCTTCTCAGTTGTTTTTAGACCTGGCATGTTTTTTTGTAAATGGGACTTAGTCAAAAGTATTTCCGATAGGAGTGCCCTTTATTGTTACTTACTAACATCGCTATGCAAATATATGCCTTCCACACATGTTGAATTTGGCAAGTAAGTAAAGAAGTAAAGCAGAGCTGACTCGTAGTTATTGAGCAGTTTTTCCTGTGTTCCAGTAAATGGAATTCGCAGTGCATCTGAAATCTAGTCAGTGAATGCTAATGATGTTCATGTTAAATGCAGAAGAGAAGGAGGACACTGCAATGTTGACGTTGCATCCTATTAACTTGCACTAATCTTGAGTGGATGAGTTCGACCCCTAATGTCTTTGTGGCATACATACACAGAGAATTCATCAAAGGCGTATCACAGTATTTTTTACGATTCAAGTGAAAGACAGCGTGCACAACGCTAATGTACACCAGTACAAGGAATGAAGGAAGGCTAAGTAGACTCTGAATACACTATTAAAAAGGTGACAAAGATTGGTCAAATCAAAAAATGAGGTTTGGCTACACTGCATGAATTAAGCGTCCATCTACCCTAAGCTAACCTTACCCTCCCTTGATAAAGGTGCAAAATAAAGTATACCCACCACCGCTGCTTCACAACGCAGTTACCAAATCATTACAACGTCCTCCTGGCAAAAATAAAAATGATATGTATAAACGAAAGTATCCATTTCAAGCTCTGATGTCCATAAAAAGAAAAAAAAGCCACAACGTATCCCTTCAGATTAACTTACGATGCGGAATTCTTGTGGCCAACTTACCATCCTGGAGCAGTTGATCTCAAGCACCTACTAAGATCCTCGTTTTGGGAGAACTCAGAGAAAAACGATGGCCTAATGCCCATCACCTCACTGGGAATTTGCAAATCGACTCAGTTGCACGTACCCATAGTACAAATAACTGTCACATTAGCCCTTAAACAGTGTAAAAAAAATTTTAAATAGATCTATGTGGTTGCTAGAGATTGCTGCACTGGAAAGAGGAAGAGGAGCCGGCAAATGATGCAATCGAAAGGCAAAGGAGAAGATCGAATAGGTTTTGAATAGATAGGTCACAAGGTGTTCAGGGGCTTACAATCTTTGAGTAAAATGCACGTCTATAGGCCATCCTGCATAACTGTTTATTTCTCTATCATTGATTGCCTCCTTGTAAAGTGATCATGCAGTGCAATCCCTTTTATGTTAGCTTAGTTGTTAGCATGGTTGCCTTCCTGGCCCTCGATCCACACTTCCATTCGACTGTCATCACGCGCACCTGGGTCAGTTCTGCTAAGCTTATTACCCACGGGTTTCATTTATTCTAGCTAGCTCTCAGGCTTCCGTCACACTCATGTCAACCGAGAAAGCATAATGTCTTTCCTCAAACCATTTTTTGTAACCTACTGGTGTGGGTTTAGTTGTACAAGCGATTGAACGACTGAACTGAGACGTCACATTAACCACCATCTAATTTTGACCTAGCAACTCAAAGCACTTTCATTTGCTGACAGTGCACCCTTATGAAGTTAGTGCATTCCGAAAAAGTCATTTCTTATTTAATTTTGTGCGTTTACCCCTATCCTAACTGCCAAGTTGATATAAGTATTGTATTTCTTCTTCTTTTACTTATTTTTACATCACTATCGTCCTTATATCAGCCTTCCTTAAAGGTCATTTGAGGATTGCCAAAGTAAGGAAGCATGCATTTAATGTTGCATGAAAAGTGTAACTCCTTCACAAAAAGGATTGCTTATCTATCAACGTAGCCACTTAGAAAGGATAAGCACAACCGAATATACCGATTTTATTTAAGAACACAAGGATTAACTTACCTGAATGGATCATTTACGTAACAGAGTAAGAGATAATCTACTGCCGCATGGTCTAAAAAGCAGAATTTAAGAAAGTATGCGCATGATTCCAATTGGATTGCTCACAACATCATCGACTGAAAGATAGACACACCCCTCTTTTGTAATAAAAAACCCTTAATACTTGTAAAATTGGTGAGTGGTTGAAAGTTGGCAAAGAGATGGAGGTGACTCGTGAAGAATGAGGCATTACTTCTTAAAATGTCGTCTGCCACAGATAGAAATTATTACCACAATTACAAAACATCACATGGAGCATATTGTCACCTAACTCAACGGTAAGGGGGCAAAGCAGTCGTGTCGAGCTGGTGCCACAGCCTCTATCAAAGTGTGTTGTTCTGTAATGTATTATTCGCCCAGATATGCCACATCCAGATTAAAACAGACTGCCTACTTCGCCTTAAATGGGTTTAATAGCTACATATAAACGAGGTGATGCTAATAGTTACGATTATTTGCTTCATCTTTGGAGCAATCATGTATCTTCTCCAAAAGCACCCCCTAGCCCATCAGTTATGGTTTCGTGGTTGCCATACAACACAGGCCTTTCTGCATCACCAGACTACCGCTTTACCACTCCTCCAGTCGTAGAGATCAGAGGCTAATGCTTAGACCCAAAAGATTGCTAAGCTATGATGCTGATATCAAGTGCCATCGCCTAGAATCTTCTTCTAAATTTGATGCGTTGTTCCCAATCAGTAACGAATTACCAAAGAAAGAAATTATTCTTTGGTTGCAAATGGTGGGCCATAACCAATCACTTCTAGTCCGTCCAGCCCCCAAATCTAAGGACCGATGAGTGAACCCATCTCACCTCCTTCCCTTGCATCATCGTTAATGATCTAATTAAGTGGCGCTTTTGACCTACTGTATACTACGTTATGCTGCTCGATTAGTGTTTCTAAGTGCACTGATTACCGATTGATTCTACACTGGAAGGCAAATACTAGGATTATATTAACGCTGCACGAAAATCCATTGTCGAATGTGACGGAATGACCGATACTTTAACAAATTCAGCCATGTCGTGGATGAAGAAGTGATACCTCTCCCACAACTCCCACGGTTTTCTCTACTTTGCCGAAAAATTATGATGCTTGGGGTGGGTAAGGTCATTTAGATCACCTTTTTCCTTAAGACTTGTGAAAGTGTGATTTCGCAAAAGGATAGGAGCAGAATTGGACGAAGATGGTAGAGTAGAAGAGAAGAAAGTTAAAGCCAAAGGCCTAATGGATTGGGTAGCGCAGAGATAGCCTAAAAGTGATTGGCGTTGTCGTGTGTGCTTTGAGGCAGAAGCGTCATCCCGACAATCACCACCGTGATGACATCGCGGGTGAAGGCATACATAGGCTCGTCGCGGCCAAACCACATGGAGGTTAAGTTGTGGCAACACCTTTCTAAGTTCAGTATCAGCAATGTTTGCTAAGTTAGGCTGGAATTTAAGACTAACGAATGGAGGGTCATATTTTAAGCATTCTGCTCGGTAACTAAATGGTACACATTATTTTTAAGCATTCACCTTACAACTCTACACATTTTTATCAAATTTTTCGTAAACAAATACTAAATGACACCACGTAAGTATTAAAACATTGCCTGCCCTTATTTAAGGCACTTTCGTGTGAAGCATTTTATTGTCACTTTTACAGCAATTTGTTGATCGTAACGTGCATTTAACTTAACCTTTTTTGGTTTCGTACTTATTCCCGAAGTCATAACGTAAAATATGGTTTTAAAAGCATTTCAATAAAAATGACTATATCTATGTTCGAGTGGTAAATGAGTCCAGAAACAATAAAATTGTAATAAAGTTTTTTATTGAGATATATCATTTTGATATGCCATTCTCAAATTCAAGAAGCATGCACTATTTTGACAAAGTGCATATGATTTGATTTCCAGATCTTTAAAATGACAATTGTATTTTAACGAATTATCGTGAAGTTTTCAGACCGCAAACTTGTTGCCCTAGGGAATATACGTATCCAGTCTTTATTATTCCCTCTTATTCACGTTGGAATAGGAATAAATAACTATTTTCTAAGTCATATTTATAAATATCTTCAAACTTGTAATAGACCAGATCGCCACTAAAGGGCAATGTGACACATTGAGGATTACTGCCATCAGGCCTAAAGCTGTCACCCTGATGGGCGGCACAAACTCCCAGGGACACTGTTCAATCTTTCTGCATAATTTTACAAATTGACTTGTATGCGCTATTTTTATTTCTAGTTTTTGAATAAACTCTGTGTTCTTCCTATATTAAAGTGCCTTAACATTCTTTATAAAGAAAATAGCAATTTTTTCAAAGCAGGTCTTTGTGAATTTTTTTTGAATCACTTAAATTCACCGATGCTTAATCATTTGTGATTTGCCTTTGAAGTGGAGTTGCAATTGCTTAAGAGAAGCAGTTATGTTCTGGACCCGATTTACATTAGACGCCTATAGTGAGCAGCAGAGTTCATGAGTTTCATTTATTTAGCTTCTTGGCCATACCTTTTGATCTCTTTACGCTTGAATTAAATGATGTCGCATGCCATTTTATTTACTTGGTTTTTCGCAAAGGATTGGCCATTTAATCATGTGCGTTATGCTCTCAACGCCATATCAATAAAATAGAGCAATTTTCATTTGCGTTGAGGTTTCTGTTTTCAATAGTGAGCACTGCTCTCTTAAGAGCATTGCAAGAAGTGCTTTTCCATTAGTGGCGAGCTAACAATACTTGGCAACTTGGGTCTAAATAGTCTGCATCATACTACCAGGAAGTGTGGCAGAGTGCTACGTACTTCTGGTTGCACTCTCAGCCAAATA